CTCACTTACTTTGGGCATGTTGCCAGGAGGGACCAGTCCTTGGAGAAGGACATCATACTTGGAAGGGTAAAAGGAATGTCAACACAGGAGAGGAAGACCCCAGATGAGATGGATTGACACAGTAACTGAGGTAATGACCGGAGGTGTGTCAAAGATAATGAGATTGGTCCAAGACAGAGCAGGGTTCGAAGCTGTTGTGCATACTGTCAGCTGTGAGCCATGGTAAACTTGATGGCATATAAAACAACAGTGTGTTTTCTCTTTGAAGTTCTTTTCTTGGTTAAACCCATAGTCTTTTATCCTTAAGGTGTGTAAACTCTTGATTTTATTATGTGATAACGATTTTTCTAAATATACTGCTGGTTTTGGATTTATTTTGACTCTGGTTGGTCCCCATTGGGGCTCTTCACCAGAGGGGATTACACTTTTTTTCTCCCATGTAGTGGCTAATGGATTTGTACTTGCTTCAGTCATTTGATTAGTGGTCTGATAAATTACCACTGCGACCAGAGCATATAAGCCATACATAAACATTTATATGACAATTATATGTAAAAATACGAAGTCTGAGTTTTATATATACAGCAGAGCCATTTCTAGGAAATAACAATTAGATTTTTATTTTGTTTAATAGAATAAAGTAACTTAATTTCCCCATATATTTTTACATTGTTTTGGACTCATGCTAGAACTCATTTGTTTTTCAAATGCTTCATTAAAAACTAATTTATGGCAATCTTATTGTCAGTAATGAGAAATTGTAAAGTCCTCTTCCTGCAAATATTTCTAAAATAATCTTTTAAAGAGGTAAAATTGCCTCAAGTTATTAAAATGCATAAGAGAAAATTAGTAGTAACATAGATAATGAGCAAGTATCCTTCGAGTATAATAGTTTATCTTTTTTTCATGGGTTTTTTATGATACATTCAGGATTATGAGAAATTTTAGAGATGTGTTACTTGATCCAAATGCTTTTGTTGTTGAATGGCAAAACATTTTTCTCTGTTGTCTGGTAACTGACCAGTTTTTTTATTTGACTTTTTTTTTTTAACACTTGTTCATTGACGTCTTCCCAAAAAATTTCAGATGGGATTTTCTAATAAAGCGTGCCTTTTGAATAATTAAGGAAAACAAAACCAAAAAACCTCCCATGTATTTTACAGCCTCCTGAAATTCTGCTGAAGGGCCAGCTCTGAATTGATTCTGGCTCAACACCATTGAGTTTGAGTTTATTGAGTAATGTTGGTTTTCTGTACCATCAAGTTAACACTGATTCATAGCTCAATATCCAGCAGATTTTCAAAGGAAGTACATTACTCAGGAGGAGTTGGTGAATTTCAATTGCATGCTTTTGGTGTGGCAGTGCAACTCTTTGCAGCTAAGCCACCTGAGCTCTCTGAGTAGCAGGCCAGCCAAACCACATCCACTGATGCCCAGTCAACTTCAGCTCACAGTGATCCTAGAGGACAGACAGAATTGCCATAATCTGTACAAGAAAGCAAAACCTTACAATGAGTGGCTGGTGGATTTGAACCACTGACCTTTCCATGAGTAGCTAGGCACTTAACCGTTGCATCACCAGGTCTCTCTTTTGAGTAAATTCCATTCATTGCCATTGAATTGGTTCCAACTCACAGTTGACCTTCTCAGTAGCTCCCTACTGAGTAATAATAATGTTGTTGTTGTTGTTAAGTGCCTTCGAGTCGCAGGCGACTCATAGTGACCCAATGAAGGAGAGTCCTCACACTGTGTGTCTTTTATTCTCTCCAGGTTCCTAGGGCTTCCGGAGGGAAGCTGTTACAGAAGTGGATGCCACTCCTAGACACTGTTTATATATTTGCATAAAACATTTATTGAGCTCTATTTAGTAATGTTCTCTTTATCTATGTCCATGTCAGAACCAACTAATGACTGAGCCTCTAGTGGATTTTAGAGGATGAAAATCCCCTATGGTGCAATGAGTATATTAGAACTGCTTGCCTTTTGAGTTGGCAGTGCAACTTCTTATCCACTAGGCCTCCATCCAGTGCTTAAGGGACTCGGTGTCTAAACTAAAGATAGCAAGGAAAAAATAACCCAAAACACAAGAACAGTGGTTAGAGGTTTAAATACAAGTTTACAATAATTTTCTTGAAAATACTGTGTTATAGGAAGCATGATATAATGGATTAATAAATTTTAATATACGTGTGAGACAAATAAAGTTATGTTAATTTATATTGGTGTAGTAGGGTGTTAAAAATAATATTTGGCGAATTTTTCTTTTGTGTATCATAGAATTATAACTGCCTCCTTTATAATATTATGTGCCAAATATATTATGGAACACAAATCTAATAATTATTACCCTGGTCTCTAAGAGGAAAGTCTTAAGTTATACTTGGAAGCTGTCTTACCATGCAGTGCGTAATTGGCTTTATTAGCTTAACATAAAATGAAATTATTGCTTCACGTAGTGTTTCCTCTTGAAAGAAAAAGGAAAAAAAAATCTAAAAATCCAGTGCACATTTTAAGTAAATTAGATAACGCACAGTAATTATCTACTAATCATTGAAGTAATTTTACTCATTCACCAACTGTTCCTTATTTTGCTACTTTGTAAAATAATTTTTTTTTTTTGGTTCAGTCTTTTTCCTAGACAATTCCTATCCTTGGCTTTTCTTTCCAGATTTTGTTTCCTAGCCTGTTTGCCATGTTTCCCTTCTTACGTGTCAGGAAATTATCCTACTTTTCTCCATTTTGGTAAGATGACAACTTTTGAAAGAAATAAAAACAGTGTATTCAGTATAAATAGGTGGTGCACTTTGATTTTTTTTTTCTTTGTAATTTTACTCAAGGGTATATGTGTTTGCGTATTTATTCTAATTCTTTTGGTTTTCCATTTCTTGAAATGGGATTCATTTAGGAAACATTTTCCTAATTAGTTTATTTCAAATATTAATAAAATTTTTAATTGACAAACATGAAAGTTTACTTTCTCCCAACATTAAATGTTTTCTTTTGATTTTGTTAAAGCCCACATCTTGTAGGTAACTTGCAGAAGTCTAGGTGACTGGCAGAATGACAGTGATTGTGCAAGTTACATTATTGTCATATATTTTATGTCACATGTAAAGGATAAATTAATTGTTACAACATTTAGGTAAATTTAAAAGCATTTAGATAAGAGTCCAACGTGTACACAGTTTTATTTTACTAACTTATGATTCAAATGGAGAACCTGAGAGAGTTTTAGGATAGTAAAAAACATGTCTTGTTGTAACTCAAAAGTGGACATAGGGAAGGCATTTTATGTGAGCATGGTGTATAATTTTATATATCTACCTTTTATTTACCATTTTTGTTTGTCTGCACCTCTTGTATGTTTTTGTTTTCTTTCTCCATGTTGCTTAAATATGCATTTGAAAATAATCTCCACAGGCCAAAATGAGTATTCTTTTGAAGGCATTTTGTCATTGTTGTCAATACACATTTATCTGTGTCAAAGGCAAAAGCTTCAAAATACATGTTTTTAACACACTTCTTTGGTTTTAGTACATACTTGTTTATGGTATGTATAAATAAAATGACATCTGGTGGCCTAGTGGCAAGAAGCTGTGCTACAACCCTAAAGGCATGCAGTTTAAGGCTACCAACTGCCCTGCGGGAGAAGGATGGGCAATCTACTCCTGTGAGATTACTGCTTCTGAAAACCTGCCAGAGGGTCAGCTATATGGGTCATTTGACTCTTTAATTACAACAATTTGAGTATATGTTCAGATTCAATAATTACATAATGTATTTAGCATTTAAGTCATTGTATTTCTTAAAACAATAAACACCGAATTACTATTTACAAACAGTTATTGAAAGAATCAAAATTAAACTGACTCTACTGGAATATCTCTTCTTGTATGTCCACTTGGTGAAGTGATTAAATGTGGAGTACACAAAATAATCCTAGGTTGGGAAGATAAAACAGAATGAACAGTATTCAGCCAAACCTTCAATTATACAATGCCATCTGAGAGTGATACCTCTCTCTGCTTTACATTTGTGCTCACCATCCCCTTTCCTCACTCCCCAAATGTCTAAATAAAATATTTTTAATATAAAAATAGGTTGGTAAAGTTTGAGGATAATGATGAATGCTATTTTCAGGTCTCTGAAAAATAGCATCACTAATTTAGAGCATACAAATATTGAAAGAAGAGTTTACCAGTCGTAACTTGAAGACTGAAAAACCAGTGTGGGAATAGTCCAAAGATGTCTGTTGCAGTGTAAAACATCTTGGCTCTGGTTAATACTTGCTTTCTTGGAATCTGGACTAAAGAAAGATTATATGGATGATGGAAGTGCCTGTGGTTTACATGTGGTATTTTTGTTTAGTTACCTGGACTCCAGAATGTAAAGATCAACTCTTTGTAAAGTTTTTTCAGATCCTCTAGGAGAAATATTCTGTACCATTGTTTGAGAGAGAAAAATGTGTCCTTGAGCAAGGTGACGATCTGGGTAGAATTTTCCCTTATTCCTTAGTTTCTTTTATATTTAGAAGTGTTTTCTAAATCCTAAACGTGGTATTATTTAAGCAAAAGTACAATGAAACTGGGTCCCAGATATAACATGCATTTAGAGATGGAACATAGGATTTTACAAGCAAGAAGTTAGGTTGACTTGTGTGTGTGTGTGTGTGTGTGTGCTACCACACTGAGTTGCATCTGTCTATGGCTATTCTTTATAGCTTTCAATGAGAAATTTTTGTTGATGCCTTAATTCTTGCAGAAGCATGAAGTTTAGTGTTGGTACAGTCTTGTACTTTAAAGCGTATAAGATGAAGAGAAGGTTTTTAAGGGTGAGTGTTATTTTCCAAATGCATATGAAAAGCACAGTTCAACTTCTAAGTCTTTAAAAGTAATGACATTCTTATTTTTTTTTTCCATTTTAGTTTTTAAAAATGTTTTTAAAGAACTTTTTACTGTGTGTGGTTAAATCTCAAGGTGATATTTCTTTTTATTCTTTAGATCTTGTAAATTTTGATGATATAACATCCTCAGAAAACTTAATGCATCTCACTGCAAATAGACCTAAGATGCCTGGGAGAAGGTTGCCTGGTCGCTTCAATGGTGGACTTTCTGTAAGTTGCTGTTATAGTTGTAAACCTAGGGCTTATCTGATGGTAAGAATGAAAGATGATTTACAGCTCTACTAAAATTTAAAAAGAAGAAAACAGGTATTAAGTGGAGGTTGATCTGCTTTTAAGGAGGTACAAAGGAGAGAGAACTACTTCAACCACACCTGGTATGGAAGATTAAAGGATTTGAATATGAGAAGTTTTCGTTAATAGGATAGCTATAGTGCACAGGGTTAAAAGGAGAGAGGTAACTGTTTAAGTCTACTTGTCCTACAATAAAAACTGAGCAGAACTACTCATGCATTTTGTAATTGTTGTAATGTGTCATCAGCTCACTCATAGCTGACGCTCCTACAGGTTACAGATGCAGTAAACTGTACAGGAGGAGATTGCCCATCTTTCTCTCACAGAGTGACTGGTGGACTCAGATGTCATCCCAACTCTTCACAACTCGACAGACCACCTGTGCTTTTTTTTTAAAAAAAAAACAAACCCAGCACTTTTTTTTTAAAACCAGTGCTTTTTGTAGTACTTGCCTGTTTTCTAAAATTTCTTGATATGCTTTCTAGATAGTGCCTAGGATAGTGATAATACTTTGTTATTGTTGTTAAGTGCCATCAAGTCTTTAGTGTTCTTAAAATGGCTCTTACGCAGTATGGCATTGTAAGATCCCTAAGAGAGGGAGAAATATTATCACAGAGTCAAGGTGTTTTGAACGCAAGATAAAAAAAATTTTTCATTCAGCTGCAAATTATGTATCTCCAACAGTAATGGAATATATACACTGTTGTTGTTGTTGTGTGTTGTTGAGTCAGAACAGCTTCTTGTCACTAGGCCACCAGAGCTGTGCTGTAATCCCAAAGGCACATGATACAAATCCACCAGTTCCACTGGGGAAGGATGAGCTGTTTCCTCCTTTGGGATGAACTGCCTCTGAAAACCCATTGGAGGGCCAGCTATGGGTTGGTTCCAGTTTAACAACACACAACAACAGTTTATAAATACCAGCAGCTGAAAACAGTCAGTGTAAATTACTTGTTTTATTATCCATATGCTTACTGCCTTTTAATTTTTTCCTCTATTCTGTTTCTTGATTTAAAAAAAAAATCGTTTAGCCAACTCAAAGCCCAGAAAAAATCTTGAAGATACCAAAAGAGGAAGAAGATAGTGTCCACTTAAAGCATTCTAAATTTAAAAAGGATTCATGCTACTCTCCAAAGGTAATATGCATTGTAGTTTAAGATCTGTGTAACTTCTATAATTGTTAACATCAAGATTGGGAAAGTTAAAGTACCATCGTTGAAAAATTCTTATTCTGTCAAGAAATAAGAGACTTTCGGCTAAAAATTGAGTTGTCACACTATTCTCTGTAGATATTTTTAAGACCTTATAATATTTTGAATGTGTGATGTAAATATTATATAGAGTTGTATGTTTTTAAGACAGAGGTTTATACATCTGTTTCATTTTCTCAATAAATACGCTTATGTAAGAAACTAGGTTTTATTTTCTTGTTAACCAGCTTAGTGGTGGTATTGGTTCTGTACAATGAATTCAGAACCAATTCATAACTGACCCTCTGGTAGATTTTCAGAGGTAGTTAATCATGTGTGAGGATATTACCTGTCTTTCTCCCAGAGAGCAGCTGGTGGATTTGAACCTTCTACCTTTGGATTGGCAGTACAACTCCTAATCACTTCCAGAGCTTCCTAGTTTAGTGTTACACATCAAAAATAAGCATTTTGTTTGTACTAGAGTGGTGGAATGAATGACTTCTCTCTGTTATATCTAAGACACTAACAACGAGTTTTTCTAAATTCTTTCATATTCATGTTAGATAGAATTACTACAAACAACTAATACTTAAGAAAGTTGTCCCAAATAGGCTTTGTCCTAAATTATTCCTCATTTTTATTCTCGGGCTTTTTTTTTTTTTAATTTTTCATTTCAGTGTATTCTAGGGCATTTGATTGGGTTTGTGTGTGTTTGGGGTTGTTTTTTTTTTCCAGTTTGTCAAATACATGTAATCTGATTTGCTTAGTTGTCAACTACTTGTTGAAATTTTATTAAAATCATTACCTATTATTTCATTGAAATACTAAAATAATGTCAGGTCATGGGCTCTCTAATGCTTCTTTTGTAAATTTGTATAGTTCTTCATAATTACTTTTAAGTGAATCTGTTTAGCAGTCTGACATACTTTTTTTTTTTTACCCTCTCTGTCTGTTTCAGTCATTCATTTCATTCATTGTCAGCAAGATGGAATTGACTCATTTTTTTACCCTTCCCCACGTTTTTAGAGGCTGTAGATGATCGCATACCTTCCTGAGGAGCAGCTGGTTGACTCAGTCAGCCTGGCTTTGGTTTGGCAGCACAACTCCTTACCCATTAGTAGTCTGCTAGACCAGCAGATTACATATAATCATTACATATCATTACATATGAATTACATATTATTCATCCTAGAGAGGGTTAAACTAGGCTGCTCCTTGGAGGCAAGGATTCTGGGGCTTCGCCTGACATACTTTGGACATGTTGTAAGGAGAGACAGGTCTTTGGAGAAGGACATCATGCTGGGTAGAGTAGTGGGACAGCATAGAAGGGGAAGATCCTCTATGAGGTGGATTGATTCAGTGACTGGGGTACTTGGGATGGGTGTGTCGGGGGCAATGAGATTGGCACAGAATAGAGCACGGTTTAGGGCTGTTGTACATAGGGTTGCTATGAGTCGCAAACGACTCGACGGCACATAACAACAACAACAACAACAGACCAGCGGAGCTCCTATTTAACATGTAGGACCAACGCAACATCTTACACTGTTAGATTGTTCTAAATGGTCTACTGTGCAAAAAAAACCTTCCTAAGATAAATACTTGGTTTTTAGACCCTAGTATTTTTCACCAAAATTACTTCACTTACTAATGATTGCCAGTTTATTTTCTGATTATTCAGTGGTTTGGTTGTCTAGTTGAGAAAGCAAACTACATTTTTTAAAAAATTATTTCAAAACTTAATTTTTTTATCTTGAAGTCTTTAAAACTTATGTATCTCTTTGGTACAACACATCTCTCCACCTTAAATATGATGATGTTGTGTAGGAATGATGCCGGCTTTCCGGGGAATTGTCAGAAGCTCTACATCACAAAGGAGGTGATTACCCGTCTTTCTTTCAGGCAGTACATGATAGATTCAAACTTCTTGACATTGGGTGGGGAGCACAACTCCTTATCCACTTATATAAATACAAATTATAACTGGAAAAAACCCACACATCCTTTTTTATTTTTTATCTTTTCAGCCATCTCAGCCCTCTGTGCCCCTTCTGACACCTGTAACTACTGCTTCTAAGCCAAATACAACTGCTTTCCTAACTCCATTAGAAATCAAAGCTAAAATAACCGAGGATGGGAAGAAAAATCCTGTGGATGAACTTAAAGCACAGATTAATGAACTGCTGTACCTTATAGAAGCACTGAAAAAGGATCATGGGTAGGTTCCTTAATCTTTTTCTTTACTTATTTTATTTAGCGTTTTTCCTAAGCATTAACTTGTAAAAATGTACTCTTGTCAAATCCCTGGTAAGCACAAGTATGTATTGAAAAGAAGTTTTCTTTAGAAGAGCAAAAAACTTGAGTTGGACAACTGTTCTAGCAGCCCAGTCATGAAAAGGTAAACATAATTCCAGTGATTTTTGGTTTGAATTTTCAATTAAGATGCAAGAGTTAATTATTCTTGAAAATGTTGTTGTTGATATATGCTATCAAGTGAGAACTGACTGACAGCTACCCTGCAGTGAGTGTGGGACTATAAATTACACAGGAGGAGATTGCCCAATTTTCTCCCACAGAGCAGCTGGTGGAGCTGAACCACATGCCTTTGGGTTGGTAGTTCACCTCCTTACTATTAGGCCATCAGAGATCCCTGAGAAAATAGATACATTTTAAAATCTATATTCAATTTTCCCAGACATTTTTATCACCATTGTTGCTAAGGTTCAATTGGACATTTGTGAAATGTAAGGATTGAGATAGATTATTTCCTAAGGGTATTCTCAAATTGGAAGGTAGAGATGTTTTAAAATGAAATTATAAAGAATGCCGTCCCCTTTAAAAATTTAATTGGTAAAGCTATAAGTTCACATAGCTCTTGAATGATAAAGCTATAACTAAAACTCATTCTTTATTGATTCAGAGATTTTTTCCCCCCATGACTGTTTACTTTAAAATGTCTTAACTCTTAAAAAACCATTCTGCGAAAACTCAATGTGAAAAATAGATAAAACATCTAGTCATGTTGAACTGAAGGTGAGGAGGGTACGTCTCTTCCTGTTCCCCTTTTGGGTATTCCTCTGGAGCCTTTTAAAGAATTCCATGGAATATAGTGCAGAAGTCCTTATTCTAGAGATACCAATGATGCCTCTGAGTCTGATTTTACCTTTTTCCTGACCCACTTTCAGCTGGCGTAGGATTGTGTGTGTGTGTGTGTGTGTGTGTGTGTGTATATTTTTCCACTTTCTTCTTTATTATTACTATCATTTTTCATTTTACATTGGGTTGCATACAAAGTTTGTATACATTTTGTTTCACACTATTCTTAATTCACTTTGTGTTTCATACAATCATTCTCATTATATTTTATAAAATAAATCAACATTGATTTGAGGTATTTGTAGATTGCAGAGCACTTCTTAGGTGGAAAAAACCAACATGTATCTTGAATAACTTCTTTAAAAATACATCTTTTAATAGTTGTTGTTGTTGTCCTGAGGTGCCTCTGAGTTGACTGTTCCTCATAGTGATCCTATGTATAGCACATTGAATCCTTGCTTGATCTTGTGCCATTTTTATAATCTCTGATATACATGAAGCCATTTTGTCACTCCATCTTGATAATCAGGTCTTACTCTCTTTAACTGACTTGGTAATTTTTATACATGATAGATCTTAAATTATTTCATCTTTCCATTTTTAATTTGAATTAAATTAGATTAATTATTCCATTTTTCATTTTTTAATCTACGGATTTTCAGAATCTGTAATATAAATATTATGAACTACCTTTAAATTACCCACTTTTTAAGTATTTATTGGCTATATCACCCATCTACCAGTTAGAGAACTGTCTTGATATATTTTAGTTTGTGTTTTTATATTTCTTGTTGTTTAGTTGCTCTTGAGTCAATTATGACCCATAGTGACCCTATCTATGAACAACAGATCTGAACCCTAATTAGAATAGTGCTTGACTGTCAGTTTCTGGACTGAGGTAATTTGTGGATTGCTGTTATGCTAAAAACTATTCCACTGCTTTGTCAAACATCACAAGGGTCACCCATGATGGACAGGTTTTAGTAGAGGTATCAGATTAAGACCAGGTAGGACATAGGATTGGCCCTCCTCTTCTTAAATAGCAGGCTTCTGAAAACCTGTGAGGAGTAGAGGAACATGGATAGTTTCTATACTGAATATACAATTTTTAATGATTTGATAATTACATACACAGTTTTCCTTTAGGTTAACTGTAGAAAGAGTAAAAACTCTTTTATATGTAGATATTTTTTTAAAGCCATTTATTTACATATATGGTTATTTTAGAAATCTCTTAAGTAAATATTTTCAGCATTTTTAGTTTATCCGGTGAAGTAAAATGGATGACAGTTTAATTTTTGTCTGACAAAGAAGTGTATGAACAAGAGAATGGATAATGTATGCTGATGATAGAGAAATACTATACAGCAGTGAAAAAATAAAATTGTGGCATAATGCAGCAGTATGGATTAACCTCAAAAAAACAGATTGTAGGGAAAACCAAGCCAGAAGAAGGACACAACTCTGCTTGCTGAAACTGAGGAGGGCTTGAAGTGCTTGCTGCAGAGGTTCAAGGACTGCACCCTTCAGTATGGATTGAGGCTCAATATCAAGAAGACAAAGATTCTCACCACTAAACCAATTTGGCAGCATCAGGATAGATGATGAGATAGAGATTATTAACAACTTTTAGTCTGCTTGGCTTCACAGTCAACACTCTTGGCACCAGCAGCCAGGAAATGAAAAGATGTATTGCGATGGGAAAGTCAGCTGTTGGGGACCTCCCCAAAGCACTGAAGAGCAATGGTGTCACTCTGGAGACTAAGGTGCATCTGATATAGGCCATGATCTTTGCTATCACTTGTTATGCATCAGAGAGTTGGACAATGACCAGGGAGGATAGAAGGAGAATTGATACCTTTGAGCTGTGGTGCTGGAGAAGAGTATCGAGGGTACCATGGATTGCTAAGAAAACAAACAGGTTCACCTGGAGAGGGTTAAACCAGGCTGCTCCTTGGAGGCAAGAATTCTGGGGCTTCGTCTGACATACTTTGGACAGGTTGTAAGGAGGGACAGGTCCTTGGAGAGGTACTTCATGCTTGGGAGGGTGGGGGGACAGCACAGGAGGGGAAGACCCTCTCTGAGGTGGATTAATTCAGTGACTGGGGTAATTGGGATGGGTGTGTCAGAGGCAGTGAGATTGGCACAGGATAGAGCAGGGTTTAGGGTGGTTGTACATAGGGTCGCTATGAGTTGCAAGCAGCTCAACGGCACAGAACAACAACATACCAAGTTTAGAGCAGACAAAATGAAGTATTATGTCCAAGCTTACACAAAACATGAAATACTTTTTTCCCTGACTTTCAGTGTCACAGACAGTATCAAGAAAGGAAAAATCTTTATAGCTGGACCGATAGACAACATCATGATAAATGGAGACAAATCAGAACTGTCAACAATTTAATTTTACTTGGAGTCAAAATTGAAACTTAGGAAACAGGAGTCAAGAAATTAAATCATAAATTAAATTGGATAAATCTGCTATCAAAGTCCTCATGAAACTGTCAAATGTGGAGACAAAGGTATCCCTGACCCAAAACATTTTCAGTCACTTCATAACATGTGAAAGTGGTATGATGAATGCTCCCACAGAGCAGCTGGTGGTTTTGAGTTGACAGTGCAACTCCTTACCACTGAACCACCGGAATTGTGATGTTGGAGAAGAGTATTGAATATCACATGGACTGCCAAAAAAATAAATAAGTCTGTCTTGGAGAAAATGCAACCAGACTGCTCCTTAGAAGCAAAAATGATCAGACTTCATCTCACAAACCTTTGGACTTGTTGCTAGGAGAGGCTTTTCCTTGGAGAGGGGTATCGTACTTGGAAATGTAGAGAAATGGCTGATGAGAGGAAGACTCTCAACCATATGGATTGAAATTTTAGCATTTGGAACTAGGAAATGTAAACTAGATGAATATATAATTATAGTTGCTCTATTTAAATTTATCTCACATAGGTTGGCCATGGCTTTGTGGGTTTATGTCTGTCCTATTGAACCTTTTAAAGTAGAAAGTACAACTTATTTATTTATTTATTTATTCAGTCAGCATGGCTGTAATCCTTTTAACATTTTCCCATGTTTGGGGAGGGCAGGCAGAAGGTCCTGTTGACATTAGTAAACTATATTGTTTTATAGGCTGGAAAACATACCATTTATATGTATTTTTTTTTTAGGAAAGAATTAGAAAAGCTACGAAAAGATTTGGAAGAAGAGAAGGCATTGAGAAGTCATCTAGAGGTAATTCCATTTTCCCACTATAAAGATTTCAGTCAGCATAAACTTGTTTGCTTTTTCTTCCTTCTCTAAGCCAACTGGGTGGGTAATTGGTTTCCGCTAACAAAGTATGCTGTCTTGCTTCAGTTGGACACTCCCTTCTGCTTGATAGCCATTTAATTAATGTGTTGTTGACTCCTAGTCCAATTCCATTCCATTCATTCATTCATTCATTTAGCAAATATTTGATAACATTTTTTTCCAATTAAGTATTCATTTGTGTATTTCTTTCTGCATATGTTAAGAAAAAGTTGTACCCTGACATTTTTTCCAAGTCTCTTCCCATCTCCATTTACTATTTTGTGTTCTTCCTCTTGAACTATATAGTACTTATGCTTTTATTTGGTCAGAGTTACTCAAGAGAGAAAACATGAGACTTGCATGTGGAAGATTAGAGCTTCAATTCTGATTACACTAGTGACATACTTTACGTTTTTCACTTGGACAGCTAGACTTCTGCATTTTGGCGCACTGAGTATATGTAACAAATGGTAAGGAGGATGATGATCATGATGATGATGATTTAGAATTGGTTAAGTTACATCAGTGGAGTTGAAATACTTAATACAACAGCCAGACTTCAGTTTTTGCTCTTAGAGATTAAGTGATAAGATCTTCTCTCTACATATATTTTTTTTTTTTTAAATGTATTCTATCCAAAAATAAAGCCCTCTTTCTAGCCCAGGTGACATCTTGTTCTCCTGTAGTTCTTTCCCTTTTTTGATTCAGGATTCATTTGCAAAGCACACAACTAACTAAACAATGGATTAATATTTGTAGCTTCTAATTCTTTAGATTTACTGATGCCAAATCCAATGTTAATTTTCTGCAACATTTCATTTTTTTACCAGTTATTTTTTTTTCCAGGTTGTGTCCCAGTTGGTGTGACACTTCATTTTTCTAACTTTTCTGCCTCTTTTTTTCTTGTAGCCTAAATTTGAATGTTCTTTTGTGCTGTCCTTGGCTCTCTTCTCTGCACATTCTCTCTATTATCTAAACTCATGAATGTAAAGAATAGTTATAGTTCATTTCCTTCTATAGGTAGTCACCTCTCTTGCTTCCAACATCTCCTATTTTATGCTTCCAACCATTCATATTCTAGATGCCATACTTAGCATATCTTCAGTTAAATGTATTTTCCTTCTCTGTTCTTCCTGGTTTTTTATTTCTGTTTATGGTATGTTTGTTCTTTCAAGTCATATATACTTGTGTTTTCTTTCAGTTCTATTCTTTCAGACTTGTTCACCTTCTCCCTCCCTTTTATCTTTATTATCAATACCTCTGTGTATTTAGCTTGCTCCAGTTTCTCTCATTTTTGTCTCAAAATAGTATTTTCTTCCTTAGATACTTTCAGGAGCTTCTGTTATTTCCAGAATGAAATGAAAACTTCTTTTTTAAAAATACTTTTTTTAAATTGAATATCCCTTCCCAGCCTACTGGCCACAATGCAGCCCCTGTTCCAATTTGTTGTCATACATACAATGCCTCATCTTATATTCCTTTAGGTTAGTTGTTGCACTCATCTGTCCTAATGCAAGGTTAATTATCTATCCACTCTTTTCCCAGTCTCTCCCCATCCTTCCCATGTCTGTCCTATTTTATCATAGCAGTGTTATGCAGTGTTTATACTTTTGTGACTGTGATTTTTCACTCAGCATAATGTTGTTGAGGCTCTCCCATGTTGTGAAATGTTTTATGCATTCTTGTTTTTCAGTGCTCTGTAATATTCCATTGTGCTATAATGTACCACAGTTTGAATTGAATGTACTGCAGTTTCTTTTTCCGTTCATTTGTTGATGGGCACTTGGGTACTTCCAGCTCTTTGCTGTTGTGAATCAGGCAGCAGTAAACATGGATATGCATACATTTGTTTGGGTCATGGCTCTGATTTCTTTAGGATATATTCCCAGTAGTGGATTTGCTGGGTCAAATGGTATTTCTAATTTTTTGGAAAAGTACCAGACTGCTTTCCATTCCCACCAGCAGTGAATAACAGTTCCAGTCTGTCCACAACTTTGCCAGTATTTGTTGTTTGCTGCCTTATTGAACTTGGCTAGTGTTGCTGAGGTGAGATGATATCTCATAGCTCTTGAAATTAAAACTTCAAGTTAATGGCTGGTCCTTAACTTCTGAATCCTGGTTCATCTTTGCCTACTTGCTAACACTTGATTGTACTTTGTTGTTATTTTTGATTGCCTTTGAGTCGAGCATGACTCAGCGACCCTGTGAACAAAAGGCCTGAAGGCCCTTTACAACTATTAACATTTAGCAGAGTTCATAGAGTTTCCAGAGGCATGTTATTTAGAAAGTGGATGCCACTTCTGCTTCCAGTTGTACTTTATAGTTGATAAATCTGAATTTTTATTCTTACTGTATTCTCCTGGATTGTCCTTTTGCCTTATCTTCTAATGTTTGTTATTTCATAAATGGGCAAAGTCCAGTTGATAGTATCACCTTCATATAGTTACTGTCAGTCTTCATTCAGTTAAACCTATTTAATCTTTTTCCAAATTCTCAGGTCCCTGAGTTGAAATAAACTTGAAAGCAATTTTAGAAGAAAAAAAAAAAAGTATGAGATGTAGGAATTATACTTTTCTGTATTATTACTATTATGTACTACTTTTTTCTCTTTAGACTCTTATAACTGTTGTTTGGTATATGATCCTTGCCTGTTTCTGCCTCTGAATATGGATAGTAGCACATGATGTATTGAGATACGTTGTTGTTAGGTGCCATAGAGTTGAGCATGACTGAGCGACCCTATGAACAAAAGATATGAACCCTGTTCTATCTTGTGTCATCCTCACACATGCTGACACGCAAGAATCCATTACAACAGTAACCGTATCAGTCCACCTAGTTGAAGGTCTTCCTCTCCTTTGCAAACCCTCCACCCTTCCTAGCAGCATGTCTCTCTCCAAGAAATAGCCCCTCCTAACAACATGTCCAAAGTATGTGAGGCAAAGCCTCATCATTCTTGCCTCCAGAGAGCACTCCAGCAGCACCAAGGGGCTGCACCTCTTCAAGACATAATTGTTCTTTTGGCTGTCCATGGGAATGTTCAGTGCTCTTCTCTAACACAACTCAAAGTCTTCAATTCTCTTCTGTCCTCCCTATTCATTGTCCAGCTCTTAGATGCATAGCAAGTGATTGGAAAAACTATGGCCTAAATCAGAAACGTTTTTGTCCTCAAACTGACATCATTACACCTCAGTAATTTGGAGAGGTCCCTAACTGTAGATTTTCTCAGTGCAATGTCTCCTTATTTCTTGACTACTAGTACTGAGGGTGTTTATTGTGGGTCCAAACAAGATGAAGTTGTTGACAGTTTCAGTCTCTCCATCATGATGTTGCAGATCAGTTCATTGGTAAGAATCTTTGTTTTCTTGACATTGATATACAATCCATACCAAATGTTGCATTCCTTAATCTTCTACAAGTACTTCAGATCCTCTTCACATTCAACAAGGAAGTTTGTGTCATGTGTATAATGCAGGCTATTGATGAGTCTTATTCCAATATATAAATGAATTACTGTTAAATTAGTAAATGCAGGAGTGTCCATTTTAAAAGTCTTAAATTCTCCTATGTTACATGGAAATTAACACATTTAAAAATATATTTTGAGTTTTCTTTTTTAAATACATTTTTATTTTATACTGATTTGCTTGTAAAGTTTGTATACTCTGTTTTTTCATATCTTGTCTTTCCTATTACCTTTATCCACCCCTCCCTCTACCCATAAAATTGAGCAACCCTGTGATTACCCACCTCCCTTGCCCATCCTCAACCCTCTACTCAAACCCTCCCTTCCCCTTGGATCCTCATACTCAGCTACTAGTTATATTTCTATTTCTGCAATAATGGTATTATACAGTATATGTCCTTAGGGGACTGAATTAGGTCACTTATCATAATGCTCTCCAGTCCTTCCCAAGTTAGGTATTTTGTAAGTAAAATTTTTATTTTATACCTGTTCATTGTTTTTATATCTTTCCCATTTCCTTTACCCACCCTTCCCTCTACCCATCAAAATTGTGCGACCCTATGATTACCCTTCGGCCTATTCTTACCTCTCTGCTCCTAGGCCCCTCCCCCCATCCTCATACTATTTTTACCAGCTGCCTTTCTATTTCTACAATAATAGTATTATACAGTATTTTTCCTTATGGGACTGAAATAGTTCAC